CGGTCGCGCTCCCTCCCTCGCCTCCCCCTTCGCCCTCCTCCCTCCTCCCTCCGCCCTTCCTCCCCAGTGTTTGTTTCAAGCTTGTGCAACCGGGAGGTGGAGGCAAGAGGGAGGGCGCGAGCGGCCAGCCTCGAGGTGCGGAAGTTCGCCGCCGCCGTTCATTGGCAGGCAGCGCCGCTTTCATCATTTCTCGGAAAAGTCAATTTCATTTTCACTTCCCCACGTCGCGGCTGCCCGGAGCAACAAGCGGCAGCGCGTGAGTCTGCTGCTTCAGCAGAGGGGCTCTCAGGACGCCTGGACGCGGGAGAGGGGGTTCCGAGGGTGATGGGCGCTGGCTGGGGCTGGAGGTCCTGAGGAGGGCGGTACCTGACTGCATCTTACCTGATGGTGGTGCCTGGGAAGCCAAGGGACTCCTCCCGACCTGCGGGTCGTTAAGTGTGGAGAACTGCTATGCCCAGAGCGAATATACAGACTCATCTTGGAAAGCCGCCCGCTGCAAAGGAATGTAAGGAAGAAAATCGACCGTAAAGAGGCATTACTCGCCGCCCTACTTCATCCGTGGTTTGAGGGACCAGCCTGGCACTGTGTGGAGGCTAGGACGATAAGAAAGGCCTTCCCCCTAGTAAGTCACGCTCCAAGGCTAGTTATCGCCTGTGCCACGTTCCAGGTTTCATTCCTGCAGCGTGAGATGGGCAAGGGTGTGAGTTGCATGAACTTAAGATGTCTTAATTAAGGGTTGGTCCAGGAGGAAGGCTTAAGGCTGCGGATTAATTTCTAGCCAAGTTCACATTTGATCTTATAAACTGGACATTCTTGGCCTCTGCCCTCCATCTGTATCCTGGAATTAAAAAAGCATGCAAAGGTACAGGAAAAGCACCTGTGACAGGTGCAGCGGCTGTCACCTGTTAGCTCAAACCAGTACAGCTCACTTGGGACCTATTTCTTTTCGGCGGCTGGCTTTAAAAGTATGGGTTCGAATTTAGTTACATCTGTTTTCTCCCTGACTTACAGTTTCATCAGCCTTCTACCAACCTTCTCTAACCACCAGAGAAAATTCTGTCCGGAGAGACGTAACTATCTGTGTGTAAACACCTCCTGAATTCCACCTCCTCCTCATCATCACAGAAGTACTGAAATCCACTGACTGGAAAAATCGGAAAGTATCCAGACATACATGTGGGAGGAGGTTGTGAGAGTTAGGGCTCTGATGGTCTTAAAATAGATCCCTCCTGCACACACTATTCTTTATTCTGTCTTAATAACACTGTGTAACATTGGCTTTCCTGTTTTATAAGTCAATAACCATAAGTATATACAAACTACAAGAAAATTGTCATTCTATCAACCTGAGTGAAAAATCCAATAACCATTAGTCTTTTTCTTTCTTTCTTTCTTTTCTTTCTTTTCTTTCTTTCTGCCTTTCTTCCATTGTGTATGTATGTGAGTGTGGGCAGGAAAGGGAGTTACATGTGACATGCATGTGCAGACCAGAGGACGATGTCAAGTATTTTTCTCTACTTCCATGTTATTCCCTTAAGACAGTCTCTCACCAGAACCTGGAGCTAGACTGTCAGCCAGTCTAACCCCCACAGTGCTGGGTTAACTGGTACACACTGTGGCTTTTTAAGTGGACAGTTGAGGATTTTAACTCAGCTCCTCCTGCTTGTACAGCAAGCACTGCTCCCCACTGATCCACCTCCCCAACCTCCTGCCCCTTCCTTTCTTTCTTTTCTTTTTCTCTTTCTCTCTTTCTTTCTCTTGCTGTTACCACTGTTGCTGCTGCTGCCGTATTTTGTTGTTGTTTGTTTGGCCTGGTTTGATTGATTGGTTTTTGCTTTTGTTTTTCGAGACAAGGGCTTGCAATGAGGCCCAGGCTGGCCAGAACTCCCTATGTAGGCCTCAGTTTCTCAAGTCCTGGGATTATAGGCATGTGCCACCATTTGGAGTGTATTTTGTATTCTTTTATTTATAATATTTAATTTATTGTTTTTATTTTATGCGTATGAGTGTATTGCCTGTGTGTATATAAGTGCACCCGTGCCATGCAATGCCCAAGGAGGTCAGAAGAAACTGGAACTAAGAGTTAGACAGTTGTTCCCTGGAACTGGAGTTAGATAGTTGTTAGCCACCATGTGGGTACTGGGAGTCAAACCTGGGTCCTCTGCAAGAGCATCCAGTGCTCTTAACCGCTGAGCCATCTCTCAGGCCCCTGTTTTGTTTTCTCAATCTATGCCAAAGCAGTTGCCTTCTGTTCTCTAAAGCAGAAAGAGAGGAGACAAAGTGTTGTTCTGAATTTCTCGCTTATTACATTTTCAGTTCCATATCCTTCACGTGTAGGCCCAAAGACTGGAAGAAACCATGAGGTCTAGTAGGGCTAGCTGACTCTGCCTTCCTGGGCTCTACTGCCTCTGTAGTAAAAATTCAGAGGAGCCAGACAAGATGATTCCCATAAATTTCTGCCCTGCATCTAATGACTTATTGCCATACACAAAGGTTAGTCTTAGAATTCCATTGCTGGGTACAGAAAGCATCCAGACTGCTGTGATTCTGATGACTGACCTCCCCACATATGTCTCTTTTCTAGACACTCCATCAGGAAATAGACCTGCCTGCTTTAAGTGCAATCCAATCCCACTGTTTCAGCATAGGCAAAGCTCCAATTATGCCTGGTCTTTGATAAGCAGCAAGAAGTTTGTACAGACTCTTCTTTTTTCAGTTTTTCTTGATATCTTTCTCCCCACTACATACATCCAATCAGGCATATCCTTTTTATATATTGATGCTATATCCCAATGCTTCTGGACAAGGCCAGTCCCTAGAGTATAGCCTTCAATTGTTACAGTTCCTGTGAAACATGCTCCGGGTCACCTCTCTTGGGCACTTCCAGGCCACCTGTCACATTGTAATCCAAGTTAAGCAAAAACCCCTCTGTAGCTCTCAGAATAAACATTGTGTTATTAACAAGACACATAAAGTCCATTTAATGTGGTGGAGACTACTTTCCAACCCCATCCAAGCTGTTGCTCCCTGCAAGGCTTGCATTCCTCCCTTGCTAAACCACCTAGCTTCCTTTTTTTGTAGAACATTATAGTGATTCCCCTTCTTCTTTTATCATTAGCCTCAGGCCCAGCACATAACCATTCAAATACTCAAGAATTTGTAATTACTTGCTCCTTTCTTTAAATTCTCACAAAATATTTAACTTTATCAGAGCATTTGTTTTATACTTTAATAGTATTCTAATATAAATGTAGCTGATAGTTATTGTGCAGAATTCAGAAAATATAGAAAAGTTAAAAGAAAAACAATAGCCACCTTGCCAGGCACGGTGGCACATACCTGTAATCCTAGCACTTGAGAGGCTAAGAAAGGAGAGGGAGTTTGAGTACAAGGAAGCCTGGGCTACACAGTGAGACCCTGTCTCAAAAAAAAAAAAAAAAAACAAGGGTTTGGGGATGTAGTTCAGTTCAGTTGTTAGAATGCTTTCCTAGTGTGAGTAAGGCCCTAGGTAAGTAAGGCACACACACACACACACACACACACACACACAGAGTCATCCACCTGGAATTTTACCAGTCAGAAAGAAGTCTATTGATATTCGTATGTACTTCCCACTAGTAATTTTTCTAAAGTATCATTTCCAACTCTGGTCTACTCAGGCTCTACATCATCTCAGAGTTCTGACTGCGCTCCACCTCTTCCTCTGTGCTTGTGTGATATCCCTGTTCCATTTCTTGGCTGGCTTCTCTTCTGCTGCCAGCCCCTTAAATTATGGTGTTTCCAAGCACTCTATCCTCAACCCTCTTATTTTCTCATTTTACATGCTCTTTCTCTTTGGGTGCTCTCATCCCCACCCAAAGCCTCAGATAGTTCTGCAGATGATCCTCAACTCACAATCATTCTGCTTACAATTTTCCAATTATATACTGATGCGAGAGCAATGCAGAATCAATAGAAACTATATTGCAAATCTTGAATGTTGGTCTTTTTTCTGTGCTAGTAATAGGTACTACAATGCTTGTTGCCATGTTGAACAATGACAGGGAGCCACAGCTCCCAGTCAGCCACAAGATCACAAGGTGAAACAGCCCACACCCTGCAATGTGCCAGTTGCTAAGCTATAATCTTCCATAGGCTCAGCATATCAAATGCATTTTTAGTATGCAGTGTTTTCAACTTAAGATAGGGGTTTGTGGCCCTTTATAAGTTAAGAAGCATCTATATTTGTTGATGATTTCAAAGTCTAACTTCTGGGCTCCAGGCATATTGCCTCCTAGATATTTGTCAGATCCAAATAAATACATAGTTCTAAAGCCAAATTCATAACATCTTTCCATACAAATTCAGATGTGTCACTTCATTGGCTAGCAGGAACTGGGAAACATCACAGTACCCCCCCACAGTTGTTTGAGCTGCTGGAGCCCCCTGAGGCATAGGTATTTCTTGCAATTTTCCAGGCCCTTCAACTCATAAAACGTAGGATGAATTGCACTCTGTTCTTATGCCCTTGATGAAATGTCACTGCAGACCAAAGACGTTAAATATGACCCAGAACATTCACATGGTATTGATATACACAGTCACGAAATATATCTTAGCTTTTTGACGCGATGTATATACTAATAAATCTCTGTGGAAAATGAGTCAATATGGCAAAATGCAACCTCTTTGGTAGTCTGGAAAAAGTACCATTTTCCATATAAGGGTGCCCACCAGATACCTTAATCTAATACAAAAATGTAATACATATGAACAGTCTTGCAGAGTGAAACCATAATGTGTTTCTGGGTATTGCGTGTTTTATTCCACCTGCAGAATGGCCAACCCAAGGAATCTCTCTGGGTGTGTTATAACTAATTTCTTTTCAGGAGAGTTGGCTAAGGACGATGATTATTTAAGCAGGATGGGAATAGTTCTTATATGTAGATACTAAGAAAAAAAGTTCTAAGTATACTCAGAGTGAGCCCCTTTTAAAATGGGTTTTTAATTTCTTTTGCTAACAGATGAGATATTTTAATAAAGTGATGATTCAAGTAGCAAACATTTGCTGAGTGTCCAAGAACACTTCTCAGCATTGGGTGTAGAAGAGTGAACCAAAGAAAGAAAACTGCTTTTTTCTAGGAAGTTTTTATTCTGTTTTGGTTTGGGGTTTTTTTTGTTTTGTTTTGTTTTGTTTTGTTGTTTGTTTGGTTTTTTTTTTTTTTTTTTTTGAGACATAGTCTCACTCACTGTGTACTCTTGGCTGACCTTGAACTCACTGTGTAAAACAGGCTGGCCACAAACTCACAGAGATTTGCTACCTCTGCCTCCCAAGTGCTGGGATTAAAGGCATGCGCCACCATGCCCAGCTGGCCAGGAAATTTTCCTACAGTGCAATCAACTAACATGTTCATTGCCATTGTAGCATCTCAGTAATGTCCAGGGCATGGCCTGTAACTATAGTCACAGCTTGTAGAGCTGTATATCCAAGTTGAAAAGGTGTAATATGTGGCATATTGACTAAAGCACAATGAGAGCTGAGATTAAAAGCAGAGAGTCCTGGTGCCCCTGTGTTGTCTGTGGTAACACTGGTAACATTTCTGTGCTGACCATCGTGGCTCTCCTCTGGGGTTCTATAATTGGGAGCGGGGGTGTCTGTGTATGAATACTTGCAATGTGCATGTGGAGACCAGAGTAAAATGTCGAGTGCCCTATTCTGTCTCCATGTTAACACAATGGAAAAATGAGTCTTCCACACTCGCCAGAGCAGGTGATCAGTACAAAGTCAGTAGTCCTACACTGCAAAGAACAGTCTGGTGGAGACCAGAGGGAATAAAAATAGAACCAAGATAAATTCTAGTTGAACAGTAGAATTGTGGTGAGGCTGTAAAGCATTTAATCAAGTTCAAGAGTCCCTGGTAATAAATCTGAGAGATTCTTGAGGATGTTTGGTCATTGGTTCCATTTAACTAAAAACTGAAATAAAGCTTTGTTGCAAAATCATGAAAATCATGAGTTTACATTGTGCAATATATTGCCCAATCCTTACTAATAAGTATCCATTTTGTCCTGATCTAGAGAAGGAAAGGGAA